CATAAAATTTATGCTGAGGCATGAGGGGAAGAACGAATGGTGAAATCATCAATGCTTTATAAAAAGTTAATGGGAAAAATGCTCCAAAGAAAGTAGCAGTTTACAAATGAGTAATTCCTTTTAAGAAGGGACAAGATGACGTTGAAAATGAAGCCCATGCCAGTAGACCATCTACATCAATTTTCAAGGAAACAATCTTGCTCATGCTGTAACTGAAGAGCACTAACAACAGTAGAAACAATAGCCAACACAGTAGACTTCTCAGTCAGGTCAGTTTACACAATTTTGACAAAAATTTAAGTTGAACAAATTTTCCACTCGATGGGTGCCAAAACCTTTGCAGCCAGATCAGCTGCAGACAAGAACACACCCTTCTATGGAAGTTATAAACAAGGGGGATCAAACCTTGAAGCATCACTTCAAAGAATTGTAACAGAAGATGAAACATAGGTTTACCAGTATGATCCTGAAGACAAACCACAATCAAAGCAATAGCTACCAAGAGATGAAATTGGTCCAGTCAAATCAAAAGCAGATGGGTAAGACCAAATGTCAAGGTAACAGTTTTCTGGGTGGCTAAAGCATTCTGCTTTACACTTTCTGCAGGGTTAAAAAAGATAACATCTGCTTATTATTGTTGCTTTGAAGAACTGAGCCAAATCTTTATCAGAAAAACACCTGGCAAAGCTTGCAACTATGTTGAATCCAAAGACTTTTATGCAATTATTAAAGAACATGTTGAATCTGTAACGATGCCATTGGTTTACTGGCAAATAAAAATGCATGGTAAAGAACAACATGTCCAGCCTGACAGTACATTTCGTTTTAATAAAATAAGTGTAAATATTTACATATATGCTTATATATAATTTCAATAAATGAAAACAGATGCATACAAAACTGCAAAAAGTATTTTACTATAGCAGGATTCGCTAAAAATGAAAGTTTCATTTCTTATTGTGTGTTTAAGTATTTTTCCAAAAATACTAAAAGAGGTATAATTGCTTGGAAGGCTTAGGTAGGGGGATCACTTGAGCCCAGGAGTTTGAGTCCAGCCAGGGCACAACAGCAATACCCTCAAGAAGGAAAGAAAGAGAGAGAGAAAAAGAAAGAAAGAGAGAGAGAGAGAGAGAGAGAGAGGAAGAGAGAGAAAGGAAGAGAGAAAGAGAAGAGAGAGAGAGAAAGAGAGAGAGAGAAAGAGAGAGAGAAAAAGAAAGAAAGAAAGGCAGTGGAAATTGTGAACAATTAACCAATTGTATAAACATACATATTAACGAGGCAATTATATAAAAGTTGCTAACCAACAAGCATGTAGATGGCCCAAAATAATATTTTACACAGAAAATAAATTTTAGATGCAACAAACACAAATGTCAAATCCCGGTTCAAGGAATTTGACAAGGTTTAAGGAATCTTTTTAAATGTTCAAAGCCTGAATACTTTTAATGTGCTAGAGGAGCAGTGACTTACCTTAGGCAAGGGCTTTCCTCGACTACAGTAGATACCACCAATGAAGATCATGTTGGGCATCACAGGTCTAGGATAGTCCAAAACAAAGTCGGTTCACAACAACCAAATTGATGTGTGGCTGCAGAGATCATATGCCATAACAAGTGTTTGGAGAATTTCAGAGGCTACTTTTAAGGTATTTAAAAAAAAAAAAAAGGTAAAATAAATGCTCCACTAAGTAGAAGATGTGGTTCCATACTCTCTCCTTAAAAGTCATGGCATCTGAAAACCCTGAGACCTATCTGGGGACATAGGAAAGAGAAGCAGGGCACTGTGCACCTTCTTCAAGATAATAACAAAGTATTCCTCTGGTAAAGACCACAGAGGGGAGGCAGAAATATCTGGCAACAATTAAGCCACACATATTTAAAGGATCGAGAAACACTGCATCAAAAGAACTCTCCTTTAAGTATTCTACTAATTTTCCAGCATCAGACACCAAGGCTGTTTGCAGGGATCGTCCAGCCAGCTCCCACCTTGCCTCTTGCCAATCCCTCACCATGTATATGCACAGTGGCTCTTCTTCTCTCACTGAACACTGACTGGTATAGACTGGAAGCAGGGGCTGTGGCAAAGCAATGCTTTGTATACTTCTTCACTTGAAATACAAGGGGCAGAAGAGAGAGGAGCAAGGATAGAGTATAGACCACAGCTCTATTGCAGTTTCTGAAGGAAAGACAGGCAGGGCAGGAGAAACAGTTTAGGACTGGCCGGTTTGAATAATTTCAGTGGGCTCTGAGCTATAAGGATGGACCGTTCGCTATCTCTAATAATTAACTGGTCCGCAGAGGGGCACTGCATCCCCAGCCAGAAAGTGATTTTAAGATGTGGAAACATTATAACATACAAAAAATGTTAATACAAATAATATAGCAAATACACTTTCTTTTCCCATGAATAAATACCTAAGAATAGCTGTGTTCTATGGTAGGTATAGGTTTACCTTCTAAAGAATCTGCCAAATAATATTCCAAAGTGGCTGGACCCATGTCCCCTCCCACCACCAGGATCTCTTCACACTCACCAGCACCTGGTGTCTTAGACTGTTTGTGTTGCCATAAAGGAGATCTGAGCCTAGGTAATCTACAAAGAAAACATGTTTTTTGGCTCATGGGCCTGCATGTTGTATAAGCCGCATGGCACTAACATCTGCATCTGGTGAGAGACTCGGGCTACTTCCACTCATGGCAGAAAGTGAAGGCAGAAGGTGCCCATCACATGGTGAGAGAGCAGAAAAAAAGGAGGGAGGTGCCAGGCTCTTTTAAACAATCAGTTCTTACTGAAAGTAATAGAGGGAGAACTCACTCATTACCAAGAGGAAGGCACCAAGACATTAATAAAGGATTCACCCCCATGACCAAAACACCTCCCACTAAACCTAACCTCCAATACTGGCGATTCAATTTCATCATGAGATTTGGAAGGGACAAAATATCTAAACTATATCATTTGGTATTGTCAGTCTTTTCCCTTTCAGCCATTCTAATGGGTGTGTAAATTAAATTGTGGTTTTGATTTCTCTAATCACTAATGATGTTGAGTGTCTTTACATGTGCCTGCTTGCCATCTATACACCTTATTTGGTAAATGTCTGTTCAAATCTTTGCACATTTTTTAAAAATGTGGTTTATTTTCATTTTCTCCTCATTGAATTTTAAATGTTCTTTATATATTTTTAATCTTTCTCCTTTATCACATACACACTCTGCAAACATTTTCTCCCAGTCTGCGGACTGTCTTTTTTTTCATTAAACTTTTTATTTTGGAATAAATTTAGATTTGCAGCAAGTTTGCAACAAATAGCACAGAGAATTCCCATATATCCTGTACCTAGTTTCCCCTATTTTTAAATGTTATGTTACTATAGCATATTTATCACCACTCATTAACCAACATTTGATACATCATGATGAAATAAAGTCTGTTTTCTTCAGATGTCATTAATTTTTACCTAATGTCTTTTTCCATTTCTGGGATCCCATCCAGGAGACATACGACTAAATGTCATGGGAGCACATGACATTTAGTCATATGTCTCCTTCACCTCCTCTAGCCTGTGACAGTTTCTTAGACTTTCCTTGTTTGTGATGACTTTGGCAGTTTTGAGCAGTTCTGGTCAGTTGTTCTGTAGAACATTCCTCAGTTTGAGTTTGTCTGACATTTTCATCATAGGTTAGACTGGGGTTATAGGTTTTTGGAAAAAAGACCACAGAAGTAATGCCCTTCTCTGCTTTCTTGGGTATGGACATCCAATTGCTGAAAACACTATCCTCTCCTCTGAATTGCCTTTGTACCTTTGCAAAAACTTGGTCATTCATGCAACTGTGTATTTATTTCTGGACTTTCTATTCCATTCCATTGATATATTTATGAAATATTTTATTACTATCCTTTGTAGGAGGTCTTAAGTCAGCATTCGCTCTCTATTTTTTCTTGTTTTCCATTTTCGTTTTTGCTTTTGTAGGCCCTTTACATTTCCACATAAATTTTATAATCCGTTTGCCAATTTGTACAAAAAATGCCTGCTGGGATTTGGATTGCAATTGTATTGAATTTATAGATGAACTGGGAGAGCTGACATCTTAACAATTTCGAGTGTTCCAATTCATGAATACATCTGTTTAGGTCACTCACTAATGTTTTATAGTTTTTAGTGTACAGTATTTCACATCTTTTGTCAGATTCAGCCCTAAATATTTCATATTTTTATGCTATTAAGTGGTATTTTCATTCCAATTTTCAATTGTTCATTGCTACTACAGTTGGCCCTTGAATAAAGCGAGAATTAGGGGCACCAACTTTGTGCAGTCAAAAATGAGCATAGAGCTTTTGACTCCCCCAAAACGTAACTACTAATAGCCTCCTGTTTGCTGGAAGCCTTGCCAATATCATGAACAGTCAACTAATATTGTGTGTATTTGTGTATGTATTATATACTGCATTTTTCTTACAATAAAGTCCGCTAGAGAAAATGAAAATGTTAAGTCACAGGAAGAGAAAAGATCTTTACTATTCATTAAGTGGAAGTGTATCACCATAAAGATCTCCATGCTCACTGAGTGAACTGTTGAGGACGAAGAGGAGGGGTTGGTCTTGCTGTTTCCAGAGTGGCAGAGGGGGAATTGGTTGAGGAGGTGGAAGGAGAGGTAGGAGACATTGGCACACTCGATTTAATTTTAATGGAAATATATCATAATTATTGTCTGATAGTTTTGCATTTTCAATTCTTTAAAAATGTTTGCATACAGTACTAATCCATCTTCCACTATCTGCTTTAGTTTCAGTGCCCATATCACAGAAGGGTCCAAGTTGTAAAAGAAGTCCCAAAGCAGTCTTAATCAGAATTCTTCTGCAAGATTGTCTACTGGCAATTCGTTTAATGACAGTGCTTCTTCTGTATCTTCTTCCTCATTATCTGGTGCTGATTCAAAAGCACTAATCTCCATCGTCTTCTGTTAATTCCTCAGATTTGTTGTCTATTAACTCTTGAATTTCTCCAAGATCTGTATCTTCAAATACTTTATGCCTATCTTATTTATTTATTCATTTTTGGTGCCGTATCCACAATCTCTTCCATGACGTTCTTGATTGGCTCTGTTGTAAATCCTGTGAAGTCACACACAACATCCGGACACAGTTTTCTTCAGCACTCATGTGTTGTTTGGGGCTTGATGGCTTTCACAGCTTTTTCCATAACAACACAGGCCTCTTCAATGGTGTAATCCTTCTGGACTTTCATGATATTCTCCCTGTCGAAAATATCATGAAAGTGATATTCTCTTCCATAGTGTTGACACTCCTTTCCATAGAAAACCATATGTAATGAGCCTTAAAGTTCCTTATGACCCCTTGATCTAAAGGCTGAATTAGAGATGCTGTGTTTGGGGGCAAGGAGGCCACTTTGGTGCTTTCATTATAGAATGTATGGGGCCCTGGGTGGCCAGGAACATTGTCTAATGTCAAAAGCAATTTAAAAGGAAGTCCCTTACTGGCATGGTACTTCCTTACTTCAGGGACACAGCACTGGTTTTCATGGAACCAATACAGAAAAAGTGTTTTTGTTGTACAGGTTTCTTACTGTAAAACAAAAAGACTGGCAGTTGGTGTTTATCTTTTCCCTTAAAGGCTCAGGGATTAGCTGCTTTATAGATGGTACATTTGAAAGCACTTTGGTAAACAGGTGAGCAGTTAGAAATACAGTATGAAAAGAATGTTGGGACCATCAGTGGACTAAGAACATCAAAATGAAGTTTCCACAGTGTATATTGAGGAATCATGGAAGCTTCTTTAGCAGAGAGGTTTGAGCTCAAAGTGCACCTTAGATGGATAGTGCGTCTTACAGTGATGTGCAGGATGGGTTGTGTAAAATGGGAGTCCACTGAAAAGGCTATTATTATAACGCAGGTAAGATCTCATGGGGATCTGATAAGGAGGAGAGAGAGCTATAAAAATGGAAGGATTGTCCAGACAACACTTTGACTTGCCACTAGTTGGATTCATAGACAAAAGGCAAAGTTTCAAATACAGCTCCAAGACTTTGATTCTAGATGAGGAGAAGGATGGTGGTAAGAGGCCATTTGTTCATTCAATAAACATTTCTTAAAATCCTGCAAGGAGCCAAGCACTGTTTGGGTTGCTGGGAACACTAGTTAAAGCCCATGTTCTCTTGGAACCAGTTTTCCAGTGGTCATTGTTTGTCAGGGAATGGAAGTTTGAGGAATATCTACCATGAAGAAGAGGGGGAATGAAGCACAGCAGGCAAAGGTGAGAAAGTCAAAAAAAAGAGAAAGAGAAGCAGAAGACAGAATGTCATGGAGCCAGGGTGCAGAGTCATGAAGAGGGGGCTAGTAAGGGGTGATGTGGAAGTGTCAAGACTCATGACAATTGAAAACAGGCTATTCCCACTTTCATTTTCTAGTATAGAGCTTTTTTGCCTTCTAGCTGGCCCACTGCCTCGAGTTCTTTCCCTACCAACACTTCCGGAACTTCCCAGGCACACAAATCTCCCTCAAATGTTACCAATACAAATTCCGTGGTGTGGCATTCTCTTGGATTCCTGCCTTTCCATCTTCATTGGTGGCTATCTCTGTTCTCACTCTCTCAAGTTTTGGCTGAAGCCAAAATTATTTTCTTCCTGACGCCCTCTTTCATTCATGGTACTTCCTTACTTCAGGGACACAGCACTGGTTTTCATGGAACCAATACAGAAAAAGTGTTTTTGTTGCACAGGGTTTCTTATTGTAAAACAAAAAGACTGGCAGCTGGTGTTTATCTTTTCCCTTAAAGGCTCAGGGATTAGCTGCTTTATAGATGGTACATTTGAAAGCACTTTGGTAAACAGGTGAGTAGTTAGAGACTGGAAAGGGATGATACCAGAAAAAAAGCCTTGCCAGGCTACTGAAATAGCTTGCCAAAAGGGCTCAAGCGGGGAAAAGGAATAATTCTGAGATATTTTTAGTGTATTTGCATGCTACTTACGGTTAGTGGAGACAAAATAAACATTGAGGTGGTTATAAAAGTTCAGGGAATGTGGAACATTTTTCACAAGGTTTGTACTGAAGATACTCTTGGAAACTGTCTTTAAGGTACTTGGCAAACTTGAAGCCCTACACAACTGTTTCCCATGTTTAGGTAACTTTTACTCTAAAAGACAAGTGAGCTACGGCCGAGGCTGGGGCTCTCCAAGCCGCCACAGGCCAAGGGGCGCGAAAAGGCAGCGATCCCCGTGGCCCGAGACCCCTGCCCCGACACGAGTGGAGCGCCGCGTCCTCAGGCAGGCCTGGGCCGCCTCTCCGCTCGCCCTCCTCAGGCTGTGCCACCAACACTGACTTTGTACACCCTGCTGCGGGTAGCATGAATTGTGGAAAGCAATAAATATAATCTCAAAAATGTGAATGAATGAGTGCTCCGCTGGCCGAGGGGACCTGCGAACTCACCAGCCACCTTGTAAGCCAGCGCACCTTTCCCGCTCCCGCTACGGATCCCAAACTCTTCGAGCCGGGGGAGTTACGTTTCCCATAATGCCCCGCGCGAGAGGCCGGGGCTCCCGCGGGGCATCTTGGGAAGCATAGTCCAAGGTTTATAAATCACTTTCCGGAGACCCGCCCTCGCCAACATGGCGGAGCGCCGTAGGGGCGGGTTCGTTCGCTTCGCTTTTTGGCCAAGGAGGGGGTCTGGGCTTCAGGCAGTAAGTGGGGCAGGCGGCCGGGAATCCTGGGAGGGACGTGGGAAGCGTAGGGACAGTGTTGGTGGCACAGCTTGAGGACGGCGAGGCGAGAGGCGGCCCAGGCCTTCCTGAGGACGCAGCGCTCTGCTGGTGTCCCAGCAGGGGTCTCGGGCCACGGGTATCTCTGCCTTTTCGCGCCTCTGGGCCTATGGTGTCTCGGAGAGCTCCGGCCTCCGCCGTAGGAGTTGGAAATTTAGGAATGCAGGCAACGAGCTCAAGACCAGACTCTCGAGTTGCGTTTTTTGTAGTTCTTCTGAGGAAAAGAAAAAGTCATTGCATTTCAGCGCTTCCTGTCACTTGGTACCTGTGCTAGGCGCAGTACGTGTATCATCTCCGAGTGACCCTCCGCCACACCCGATGTGAAACCTTGAACAAGTCACCTAGGTCCCCAGGGATAGCGATGGGGTTACTGGATACATTTTGGGAGGCCTTTAGGCTCGATAATTTTAATGGGAGTGTTCCCCGCCTTCTCCTGTGAACTTCCTTCTGGCCCAACAGCTTCAAGACTGTACTAAACTGCTCTTTAAAAAGTTAACTTGATTCGTTTAATTAACTTAAGTGGCATAATCTGTGTATGGTACTGAAGGGTGTGACAAGCAGAGATTTTAGTGAGTGATTCTCGGAATCTAGAGTTCACTTTGCCATCCCAGCAGTGGATTAGCCGTGGTGACAGGTTGGTTTTTTTTTTTTTTGGAAAAATTAGTGATGTGAACGTGCCTTTTAAAAAACAGCTATTACTTACTGTGAGCCAAACCCTGTACAGTAAGTGCCCTTCTTTCATTATATCATTTGACAGTTTAAGTGACCCTAGGAGACGGACGGTATCTCATTTTACACATAAGAAAACAGATTAAGTACATATCCAGGGTCACACAGATAGTTAGGATCCTGACAGAGATGAAAAAAATCTACATCTTCCTACCTCCAAAACCCAACTGCTGTACATAGAAACAGGAGTTCTATGTTCTAAGAAACGACAAAATCGACTCCCTAGTGTAAGGTAGGGAGATTTGGGGAAAATTTATTTAAAAAATAAAAGCGTTTATATAATATGTCGCTTTTTTTTTTTTTAAGGGTAGTATTTAGTTTCACAATGTTTGGGAACCTCTTTGAGGAGGATTATTCTACTGTGTCTAATAATCAGTATGGAAAAGGGAAGAAATTAAAGTCTAAAGTTCTGGAGCCACCTGCTCCTAGAGAATTCACCAATTTAAGCGGAATCAGAAATCAGGGTGGAACCTGTTACCTCAATTCCCTTCTTCAGACTCTTCATTTCACACCTGAATTCAGAGGTATGCTATGTTACATACATTTGATTAGCAGTATATACCATCATCTTTACATGTAATTAATTATGCAGAATCACAAATAGACCAATTATCTTAAAGATATATTCCACAGTATGTGTTTATTGTTGTAAATGTAAAATTGGTAATTCCCTCTGCAGAAAAATGTGAAGCTTAATCTTAAATATATCCTGGGTGATTACAATAATGTTTAGTAAAAAAGATCGATATATTTCTTTTCTAATTCCTATAAAGTGCAACATAAAGACAATTGTCATAAGTATCAGTCTTTATTATTGTTACATTGTATTTTTGAGTTTTATAATTTCTCTAGAATAACAAACACTTAAGTCAGAGTTATCCAAACAATTATATCTACCTTTCGGAGTGGGGAAGGATGTCATATTATTTATGTGGGTCCACAGTTGTTCATATGTCTTTCTGAAATCTAGAAAGCTCACACCCTCATCTGATTTCACCTGAACTTGTTTAGCTTCAGAACCAGACCTGGTGTGAGGCTATTTATAGTTTTTAGTTATCTCATGTGGGTGAATATTCATACATTTATTACAGGAATATTAATCTGCTTGATTAATGGAAACTGTCCCAGACCCTGCTGGAAATGTAACATTGTGTGTGTGTGTGTGTGTGTGTGTGTGTGTGTGTGCATATATATATATATATATATATATGAATGAAACACTTTTTCATATTGTCTTTGTAAACTGGAAATTCTGCATTCCAAAGACCCAAGGTTTTAAGTAAGGGATTGTGTGCAAGAAACTGACCCCCAACTCAAACTAGCTAAATTTAAAAGGGGTGTTATTATGAGAATATAGGGGATCTCTGAGAAGTCAACTACAAGAAGCCAGCCTGACCTCATTGGACCCTTGATTTTTTTGTCCGTTTCTCTCTGCATATTTCTTTCATATCTCATCTCTGCAAACCAGCTTCCTCCACAAGGGTCCTAGGGTCTGTATTCCCTTGATCTCAGTGTGAACATTACTTTGCTTTCACATGGCCCTGACTGGGGTCCCCAGCACTACATGGCTTTGTAACACAGTGTCTATATTAGGAAGACAGACAGCCTGACTCATCCTGTATCTGGTTTGCCACGTTCCGCTTCCCTACCACCACCACATTTATCTAATCTTTGTGGTTCCTCTGTTGCTTCTAAGCTTAGAAAGACTTCCTGCCTCCAGAGATTTAGTAAATACACTGTTCCCTTCCCAGGAGCAATTTAATGGATTGGATTGCATGTGGGATGTAAGTGGTGTCTTAGCCTTGACTCTGTCCCCTCCATAAAAATATCTCCCTGATGCAACCAATAACTCCACCAGTAGAAATTTCCAGCTCTAATAAGTAGATTCCTAACAGGGATAACACTTTTCCAGGTTTTTATATAGTTGAAGTTAAGGGACAAGTTGAAGTAGAAACATAGCCTCAAAGAGACTGAGGAAGATGGTGAAGCATTGTGTGGGTTATGGAGAGTACTATTAGGAAAGAGTAGGACTGTGGGACTGAGAGTCCAGGCCAGCTACCTCTCCAGCAAAGGAGATTGCTGGCCAAGCACATGATTTGACATCTTAGTGCACAATGTGCCCTCCTTTTATAGCTTAGTGTGAATCCTGATGCTGATTGGCAGGAAGGTATAATTTGGAAAGGATAAGGCCTGTCAGAGAACTGGGGGAGAAAAATTTTGGAATAGTATTTTAAATAATAGGGCTGGATTTGGTTCCATTGTACTCCATTACGATGTAGCCGAGAGTACTGCGAGATGATTGTAAAAGTTCTTTCTTGTATGGTTTTATGCTTTAACTTGTAGATTTATAGTTCATTTTTGCCCAGTCCTAGCACTTCGAATGTAACATTCATTAACAGCACTAGAGCAGCAGTGGTTTTTCAATAGGGAGACACATTTATCCCATTCCTTGTCACCCTGGAGTATATCAAAGTTTCCCAGTAGGAGTTCCTACCTGGCTTGGATACAGACTTCCCAAAAGATTCAGATATGGCCCATTGGGTGGCACATCACCTACATGTTGGGTGATAAATTCTGGAGACTGGCATATGGTTGCCAGCTTCTTTTTCCAGATAAGACCACTATCATCTGTTATTATCTTCAACACAGAAAAGGCATTTTCCCACCAAAAAAAGAAGGGCATCATCTCAGAGTAAAAGGGGATCCTTCCCACGAAAGGATGGTTGTCAGCCTTACACGTGGTGGGAAAACTGCAACACTACTCTATTTCCTAAGATTCCTTTTGGCTTTTGGACTTGCTGCCATAGACAGTGGGAAGCTGTGAAAGATTTCTTATGTTACTGTTTTTAGTTTTATGCATGAAGATTATTTTCCTTTCATAGAAATTCCATGCTGAAGCCTTAGCATGCCAGTTTATTTTCTTAGAGTCACTGATTAAAAATGTTACAAGAAAGTAAAGTCTGTAGAGTAAAAGTATAAATATTGCTATGGTCATATTTCTGAATCTACTTGATTTTACTGAAAAGTGGTCTTGGCTTTCTAAAACAATTTTTTGTTGTTGTTGAAATAATGTCATTTGCATCTCTGATTCTACCTTTTTGTTTAGAAGCTTTATTTTCTCTTGGCCCAGAAGAGCTTGGTTTGTTTGAAGATAAGGATAAACCTGATGCAAAGGTATTACATCTATGATTTACTGGGATGTTCTGGAGTATTCAGGAAATTTTCTTTTAAAGAAGGAATTAAGTGACTTATTCACAAAGCAAGAATTTTATTAATTATCAAATATGGTCTTTATTTTCAGAAAGTGACTTGGCCTATACCCTATTGGTAATGGAATTTTCCTTCTGAGAAAGAATCTCTTCTCCAAATTTAATACTGCTACCACTTTATAAATATACAGCACTCTTTATTGTGCTTATTCTTTCTTCCGGTGGAGGAAATATTTGCACAACATCCACATTAGCTTCCCTCAGAAATCTATTTAAAGCACTTTTTTGCAACAATATCAAAAAAAAAAAAAAAACTACATTCTTTCAATTTGGTAGTCTGGAAATAATTGGAGTAATGAGTTGATTTATAATTTTGTTTGTTACTATGGTGATATTAAAGTACAGCTCTAAGCATGTTCCTCGCGGCTTAAACATAGCTCAAAAGTTTCTTATCATGTTCAGCTCAAATTTTTACCTCCTTGGAGTCTTTCATGATCTAGCCCAGTGCTTCTCAGGCTACTTCTGTAGCAAAGGGCTTGTTTTCGTGCATTTTTTTTTTAAATTTCCAATCTGTTGCAAATTAGCACTTTTGTAGTATATAATAAAAATGCCATGGGAATGTCAAATTACCATTAAAATTTCTAAATGCTTATTCTCCCTTTCAATACTTAAAAGTCTGGCCTTCTTAAAGCAATGGCCAACATTGCTCAGTCTGGCGGAGCCCTCACCACATGAAGTTAAGGCAGGAAATCGTTTGGAGCCAGGAGAAAGTGAGACAGGGTGTGCTGAGAACTCCAGAGTG